TATGCACTAGCGCACAGAGCAAGGTTAGTGGTCAAAGGAAAACTGCTTCCCCCAATCAGAAAAGGAACATCATAAGGGGTTGACACTGGGATTATGTACACATGAGGTAGTTTCATCACCCTCTCCACTGGCTTTTGTTGCCCAGAGCAGAAACTGAGATGGAGAGAGCACTGGGAACCAATTGGCCAAATAGGATTTAAAAGGCAAGAAAGAGTTTTTCAGTCCAAGCTGCCTGAAAAACCCTAAGTTTGAAAGCAAGATGAATAAGGAGGTAGTAAGAGAGCTCCTCATCACCCTCAATGAGCGTAAGACACCTGACCTGGATGAATGACACCCAAGATACCAAAGTAAATGTCATCAAATCTCTGAACTAGAAAGGTATTAGAAGTTATCCTATACCTGAGCAAGAATACAAAGGATCTACTAGAAGGCAAAACCTCATCGGGTTGAAGATCTCCCAATGAGGAAAAACTCACTACCCTTTGGGGGAAACCACTGATTCCACTTTTGGACAATTCTAATTGTTGGGAAATTTTTCCTTATATGAAGTAAAAATCTTTCTGTCTGCAACTTTCCTCTAGTGCTCCTAAATCTGCCTTCTGAGGCCAAGCAGACAAGTCTCATAATTCCTCTTCCACATGGACAACCCTTCAGATATTCAGATAGTATGATCATATCTCGAAGAGTTGTCCCTTATCTAAGCAGCCCAGCAGATTTCTATTCTCCTCCCCACCTTGATCACCCTTGCATGGCTTGGCAATATCCTTTCTGAAATTTGGCACCTAGATGTGAATGCAGGACTCCGGATATGGGCTAACCAGAGCATTGTGCTGTGCCTATGATTGCCAAATTATTGTCAGTAATCTCTGTGGAATCATGAAGAATGGGAAAGGTACTATGGGACTGGAGATAAGCAAACATTCCCTGATTTTCAAATGGGGAAATAGTAGATTCTATTAATAGTATAGTAGATACTATTAGTAGTAGGTTCTATTAATAGTATAGTAGATCCTATTAGTAGTAGATTCTATTAATAGTATAGTAGATACTACAAACCAAGCAAGATTGATATCAATTACTGGCAAAATGTGTAAATGTTTTATCAAAGAGATGATTGATGACTTGGGTCCATTTAGGGAATGGGGATCACTCCAAGTCAGCATAGATTCAGTAAAAATATGATATCTTTTTTCTCACAAGATCACCAAACTGGTGAATCATGGAAATGCCATAAACAAAGTTAGTATGCCAAGATTTTAGCAGAGTCCCATGATAGTCTTGTGAACAAGAGAGAGGTAGACTAGATGAGAATAGGTAGGCAGGCTGCCAGTTAACAATGGCTAAACAACCAGTATCAGAGTGCTGACTCAGTAACTCAGTTTTACCCTTGAGGGAGGTCTCTAATAGAATGCTTCAGGATCCTTTCCATGCACCTATTCTGGTTAACATTTTTATCAGTGCCTTAGATTAAGGTGCAGGTGGCATGCATGTCAAATTTTCCGATGACAGAAGGTAGGAGGGATAACTAATTGGATGACAGAGCTGGGATTCAAAAAGATCTGAATAGACTGGAATTATGCATTAGCTGGTCTAAATAGGATGAAATTTAGCAGGGATAAATATAAAGTAAATCCAATACTTTGGTTCAAAAAATCAATTTGTTACCACAATCAAGAAGACAAGGCAATGGCTGCTTAAGAGATATTCCTAAAGGACATGTGTGACTATGCCACTCCCTGCTCAAAAACCCCCAGGGGCTCCCTATTGCTTCTAAGATAAAATTCAAATTCTTCTGGTTGGCATTTAAAGTCTTTTCACAAACTAGCACCAATTTACCTTTCCAGGCTTAGTACTTATCAGCAATGCTATGCTGATAAATGTTTAACATCCAGGTCTCCAAAAAATATTAGAAACATACATACATACATGTATCACAGTTTTAATTTTAATCTGCATTGGTAATGTTTTCTCCATCACTTTCTTAAGTTTACAAAATCAATAAAACAATAAAACAGGCCCTGATTTATAGCACCTGCTAACTTATGAGGTGTAAATACTCACACTACAAATTTAACAATCAGCTCATGGGAGCTGATACGTATGGCTCCTGGCACCCTATAGATTACTCTCACTCATAGAATCCGTGTTCCAGTCCAAATGGCCTACTTGCTGTTGCCCCTATTTGACATGTAGGGCATTAGACTGAGAGCTCCTTGAGGGCAGGAACTGTCTTTTGCCCCTTTTTGTATCCCCAGTGCTTAGCACAGTGTCTGGCACACAGTAGGTGATTAATATATGTTTACTGATTAATGACAATCTAATCCTTGCCTATAGGCCTTTACCTGTCCCTGATTCCTGGGATGTACTCCCTTCCTTGCTTCTACTTAGCAAAATCCCTAGCTCTCTTCAAAGCTCAGCTCCTACATGAGGCCTTTCCTGAATTACTTTCCCATCTTTCTCCTTCCTCCTTCCTTAGTACACCCTATTGACTTATTTGGGTATATGTCGTTTTTTTCCCAAATAGAATGTTTGATAGCAGAAGCTGTGGGGTCTTTTGGTTTGGTTTTTTGACCTTCATATCCTCAGCACCTCAAATAGTTCCTGGCACAGAGATGCTTAATAAATGCTTATGGATTAATCTGTGGGATGGGATGGTAGAGCTGTGGTCAATAACCCTGGTGATGGCACCAACTTCACCCTCTGGCTGAGGTTTCCTGTAGCCAGACTACATAAAGCTTGTTTCTTGGGCAGGATTTCCTAACTGGCCTTCAAATTGAGGAGCTGTGTTGTCAGGAAGGTGCGTCAGTGAGAGAGTCAAATGAAACCTCTGTGACACATGGCAGTGCAATTCTGGAGCACCTGGTTACTTGGAGGGGAGGGGGACAGACTTAGCCAGTGTTTGTGCTGTGTGTGTCCCTGGGGAGAGTTTCATGAGATGGACCATCTTATAAGCTACAAGAGGTCTTAATGCACAACTGATACCAAAAGGCTGGGTAGTAATGACACTGTGTCATAAGGTGGGTGATACCTGTCTTTGACCACACCTATAAGGGAGCCCTTCCCCTATTCTCTTAGCACATCTGTTGTCAAGATGGTGGAATCTCAACAGTTCAGAGGTCATGAGACTTCAACCTAATTGCATAAGCACCGGCTAGATCCAATGTAGCTAGCTAAACAACGGGTCAGGGGATTTTAATGAACTGCCGATTCAACATGAGCCGATAGTGTGACAGTCTTATTAGAGCAGAAAAGTTCTATAATGGCTTTATCTGCAACATCATGGCCCATTCTGGATGCTACTTTTTAGGAAGAATATTGGCAAGTTAGATGTGGCTTTATGTAGGGGAGAGTGCTAGGCTTGGGATCAGAAAATCTGAGTTCAGATCCCATTTCTGACACTGCCTGTGTGACCCTAAGCAAGTCATTTACCTCTGAGATGTGTCCCAGGACACATCTACTAAACCACACATAGGTTGTAATCTAAGTTGGTAGAGAAAATTCCTGCACTGAGACTTCTCCACACTTATGAAATTATAGATTCTTTGCTGATTTACAAGTTGATGCATAATCAAAGAACTGGGACCAGAAGAAAGTCCAGTGAAAGCTTAGATTCAGAAACGGGCTCAAATCCTGGCTCTGTCATTTACTACTGTGAACCTTTAGCCAAGTCACTTCAACTGGCTGGTCCTCAGTGCCCTCATCTGTAAAATGAAGTGGATGGATGAAATCAAGTTAAAAAGCATTTATTAAGCACCTACTAAGTGCCCAACACCCAGAATCTTGACAGGCATGACCAATGTCTTCAGGTACTTAAAGGAATGTTTGGTGGGTGGAAGAGTGATTATACTTTCTTTAAAAATGATTGGGTCTCCCTAGCTCACTCAAGCTAGAAGGGAGACACTTATGGGGCCAATCCCATCCTGACTGTCCCAGAAGGGACTTGTTTTTGACTTGAACCAATTTTCCCCTCCTTAGCAGCCTGGTGGCCTCACCAGCCCCATTCTCAGGGGGCTCATCATATTAATGTCAGACTTAGCACAGGCATCCAATAGACTTACGGCAATGCAGTTCAGAAATGTCAAGTTCAAAAGATCCACCTCCCTAATAGCAGGAATTACAAGCATGTGCCACCATGCCCAGCATACTTATTCTATTTGGTCCCAGAGAGGACTAAAAGTACTAAAAGAAATGACTAGAAATTACAGGAAGATACAACATAAAGGCTAAACATAAAGAAAAAAAACCTTCTTAACAATTAGAACCATTCTCCCTCCCAACCCCCAAAATAAATAAATAAAATAGGCCACTTTGGGAGAAGCAAGTTGTCTGTCATTGACCATTTGTCAGGTATGATACAAACGTTGAGGATGGAATCTCTGTTTCAGATGAGGTTTGGATTAAATGACTTCTCTGGTGTCTTCTAGCTTTAAGAGTCTAAGATTCCATGAGTGCAACCCTAGGACCTTGGAGGAAACTGACCATCTTCTAGAGTTTTAGCCCTACAAATACAACTCAGAGATGTGCCTGCAAACATCATCACACCACCACAGGCAAAGGGGACCACCCCAAAGAACGAAATGAAAGTGTGCTGATCAACACGTAGGATTCTGCTGACCCATCACAAGTAGAGCATGAGCTCGCCATTGTTTTTCCAGTAGTGGTGATGATTTTATATTGAGTCATCCCTTTTACCCAGTGCCCTTCCTAATCTGTGAAACACACATCTGTGAAACAGATGGCTGGTGTTAAGGATGCATCTGTGGCCGAGGAACAAAAATTTTCCTGTGTATGTAGCCATCTGGCCTGAATAGGGATCGAATCTCTAATCCTAGTCTCATTAGCAGCAAGCTTTAACCAACTGACCTAAACAGCCCTGACATTCTGAAGAGCTACTCAGCCTCCAAGTGTGGTGGTCTCAATACAGTAATAACTAGGGAACATTCATGAAGCAGAGATGAGAACCATTTGCATATGCACTTGAGAAATTCGGGTAAAGCTACCTTCATTGCTCCCATGGCTTGAAAAGTCACAGCTAATCGGGATGGTGTCAAAGCTGCCAACATTACATTGAATCTTTCACTCTTGTTCTTAATGGGTGAATAGTATTGTCCATTTGGTGCCACGGAACCAAACCTACACAGAGAAAGAGAGGGAAGAGAAGAAAATGTTTCATATCATAAAAAAAAATCACATGGTTAAAAATATCATCCAGTGGAACCAAGAGTGGCATATTCTTTCAGGTGTATCCCCTCATCAGAGAGAGAGAGAGAGAGAGAGAAAGTCAGGTGACATGGCATGCAGGGATCCTTGGCCTATCCCCTGATGAGTTCAATTTAATCCTGCATTTCTTTTAATATCCACAATGTGCAAAGAACTGTGCTGGGAGCTGTGGGTACATAGACAAAATAGAAGACATTCCCTCCCCTCAAAGAGTTTACATTCTACTGAGGGAATACATTAGTATACACAGAAGTAAGTGAATGAAGAAGAAAAAAGCATTAACAGCTAACTTGATTTAGGTTAGCACTAAGAACTAATTTAATTTAGCTCTCACTACTGACTTGATTAAGAGTAGTCTAAGAAAGATAGAAACTGGTTCCCTTCGACTACCCCCAGAAATGCCTGTGGTGGACAGGGCTGCTATTTCAGTAGGAGTCCTATTGAAATAAAATTTCCCTAGATTTCCCTGGAGTCTACTTCAGGATCTGGCTTTGACCAATCTGTTATTCAACCACTTACGTGCCCATTGGCCAGCCTCCTTGTGCACTGAAGCTTCCTTCTTTGCCCTGGTCTATCTGACCCATACTGATTTCATAGGTGATCATGATGCTTTCAGTCTTTGGGGTTGGCTCTTCTCAGCAAATTCAATTGACTGACTCTCTACTTCATCTTTGAGATATGAGAAAGAACATATCCTCTTTTCTAATTTACCTTATCCAGAGTCAATCTATTTCCTTAGCTACATTGGCATTAGGCTAATGAGCAGAGTCTCCAGCAGGCAGGACTTCTAGGTATTGTCTGGGCCACATTTCATATCACTAAAAGATAGGGTAGTAGCAGAATCACTGCTACTTTCTTTCCTTTTCCATTCCTAGGAAAGTATGAACCACCTTTGCAGACAAGACATGACCCCAAATGCCCAACCTTTGTTTACATTAGATCAATACTGATGTTGGATTTCCAACATCAGCTAACAGCATACCAACCTTCACTGTAAAACTTCACTGTAAACTTGCCTTTTAAAATAATCTCAAAAAGTAAAAACACTGCTACCCCTACCCAACTATTCCTAAATAGGAGGAAAAAGCACTAACTCTGGAATCAAAGGACCCAGGTTCAGACCTTACTACCAACTGAGGCAAGTTGGTGGCACAGCACTGGGCCTAGAGTCAGGAAGTCCTGAGTTTAAATCTGGCCTCAGAGATTTACTAGATATGTGAGCCCGGAAAAGTCACTTAACCTCTGTCTGTCTCAATTTCCTCAATTGTAAAATGGGTATAATAACAGTACCTCCCACCCTCCCTCTAATTGTTGTTGTGAGGATCAAATGAGATAATATTTATAAAGCGCTTAGAATAGTGCCTGGCATTTAGTAGGCACTTAATAAATGCTTGTTCCCCACTAATGATTACTACCTGTGTGACCTTGGACAAATCACCTAACACTCGCACACATACACCCCACCCCCAACCACTCCCCCCCGCCTCAGGTTTCTCATCTGGAAAAATGAAGGGGATGAACTAGATGAATGATGGTGGTCCTTAGTTCTCAAAGAGGACCAATGACATCACGAGGGTGATGTCTCAACTTGCATGTGAATTGACTAAAGGCTAGATAAGATTTGGGACAAAAGATGGCTTAATTTACCATCACAAAAATATCAGTCTGGGAGAATGATTGAGTGAATAATCATGTATTAAGAACTTAAATGTGACTGAAACTCTGGACAAATTAAAAAAAAAAAGACAGTCCCTACCCTCAAGAAGATTATATTCTAATAGGGGAAACAACACATATAGGGGAGTGGCCACCAAGGATGGTGAATGGAGCCATGGGACAACGGAGCCATGTGCCCTTTCCAGAATCAATGGTAGTGTTGTTTTAATTACTTGCTGGGGGGTAGAGTGGAGGGGGCTGTGGATTGGAGGAGTGGCAGTGAATGATGTTACCTGAAGTCCCTTCCAGCTCCAGTTCTATGATCTTATGATCCCAAGAATGAATCAGACATCAAAATCAAAAACCTCTTTGGGACCAGTGGCATCTGAGTCTACTTTGGGGGAACATTTTTATATGAACAGTGGAATTAAGATGATGGAGAAGGGTTACTCACTTATCCAGTAGGTTCTCCCTTGGAATTCGAACTTTGTCAAATATTAAAATCCCGTTATCCACACCATGTAAACCTGCAGAGCAAACAGAAACACAACCAAATGAACCAGAGGAACAGAAAAAAAATCCAAGTCCTAATCAGCAAAATTGCCTCTCCTACTTCCCATGTGCCAAGCATTGCTCCAAATATACAGTGCACTTAACCAAGGATGTCCACGTTACTTCAGAGACATTTTTTCACTGAGTAAGATTATTTACCAGAGCTATGTTTGTTTCCTTTAGCACAGCTGGGCAGCTCCCTGTCAGGCCAGAAAAAAAGCTTGTTCTGCCTCAGATCTAACATGCTCAGGGGAGGGGGAAAGGAGGAGAGAATTGGGAGGGGGGGAGAGAAAGACCTTATCTGCTTGAGCAGTTAGCAATAGTCAAGAAAAAAAGATTCAATTTAAGTTCTAGTTGAATGAAAGAATACAAGGATGCATATATAAGCCCCAAGAAAGTCAATTTGGGCTCTTCAACAATAGCGTAACTCAAATTTCTCTTCCCTCACCACAAATGTGCCCCCACTCCCACCCCAGCACACCTGGCTGACTTAAAGGCAGCTGCCTAGGAAAGGAAGCAGCCTTAGTGGCTACTGCAGCAGCTGCAGGTAGCCTGGCTGCCCAATAACCAACATGAGGTGTCCTAGCTTAGCAGAGGGGCTGCCAAAATCTGCAAAGTTCATCTCGGAGTGACTCATGAGAGGCTGTCACCAACCCCCCACTGAGGTTTTACTTATGTCTATAACACAGTTCCTTGCTCAGCTTGGAGCCAAGCCGTCTATTTTTGCAAGCTTAAGCTCGAAGTTTAAGCTGGAAAATCATCTTTTTTTATTCAGCAAGAGAATCTATTGACTAGGACAGATACTCATTTTGGTGCCTGAGAAGAAATGAGACCAGGCTTCCTGGAGCTCTCACAGTCTCATCTGGCAGCCCTCTACAGGGCTTGGGCCTAAGTCTCTGCCCTGGACAAACTCAGATACATTTAAAGCAGTTGCCAGAGTTCTCTGGCATCTCCATCACAGTCTGAGATAGTAAATCAGGCACTTAGGGGACATGTATCTAAAAATCTTCCACACCTATATAGGGTGTGTCAGCTAAAGTGGACTAGGGTATCCAGTAAGGACCTCCCTATGTACCCAACTTCATTTATACCACACAGGGATATACCTAGCTGGACAGTAGACAATGGATGAAACTCAACCATTCTCTGCAGGGGTGGGGAACGGATGGCCTTCTAGGTCCTTGAGTGCAGCCTTTTGACTGAGTCCAAGTTTTACAGAACAAATCTCTTTATTTAGGGGATTTGTTCTATGAAGTTTGGATTCAGAGTCACCCTTGAGGACCTAGAGGGCCACATGTGGCCTCAAAGCCGCAGGATCCCCACCCCTGCCTCATGTCTATTTCTTGTGGTATAGTGGATGGAGGGATGGACTTGGGAATCAAGATGGCAGGGCTCAGTCCTGGCTTCTGACACTTGCCTCTCACAAGTCCGTCAATTTCTCTATCTTGGTTTCCTCATTTATAAAAAGGGGATCATAAGACCAAAGATCTAAAGCTAGGGAGGAGAATAGAGTCATCTAATTCAACTTTTTCATTTCATAGATGAATACACTGAGGCACAGAGATCTCTAGTACCTTGTCCAGGCCCACACAGCTGGGAAGTGTCAGAGGAAGGAATCAAACCCAGGTTTTTCTGGCTCCTCATCCAGCATTCTATCAGCTATGGGCAGCTAGGTAGTACAGTGGATAGAACACCCAGCCTAAAGTCTGGAGGATCCGAATTCAAAATCCAACCTCAGATACTTACTAGCTGTGTGACCCTGGGCAAGTCACTTAACCCTGTTTGCCTCAGTTTCCTTATCTGTAAAATGAGCTAGAGAAGGAAATGGTAAACCACTTCAGCATCTTTGCCAAGAAAACCCCAAATGGAGTCACAAAGAGTCAGACACAACTGAAAATTGAACATCAGCTATACCAAGCTCCTTCTGTAGTAATAGTATCTGTAGCCTTTGCCTCATGGGGTTGTTTGGAGGCTCAAATGAAATAATACATGAAAAGTGCTTCAAAAATCTTAAATTATTATCTTATACTTCTCACTTTCTTTTTCCTTTCCCCTGACTATGACTGAGATCTGTCAATAGCAACCAATGGTGCCTATAAATCCTGCTGAATTTTAATCAACAAATCTTATCGATTTCAATACGTCAACAACTTATCGAAAACAAATGCTGTGAAATGACAATACTTAACCTGAAAGAAGAGACAGAAGTTACCTCCCCCACCCCTGCCACTTCTTTGCAGAGGTGGGGGACTGTGGGTATGGAATTTTAAATTTAATGTCACATTTTTTTCAATATAGTTTTCAATATAGTTTGAACTAGGGTTTTGGGTTTTTTTTGCTTTGTTATAAGGATAGCTGTCTGGGAGAGGGTGGGAAAAGAGATATGTTGGGAAATATAAATTAAGTAATGTAAAAACAAAAAGAGAGCAATAAAAATTTATTTTTAAAAAAGCAATTACTCACTGAGTGTCTATTATATACATAGCACTATGCTGGGTCTGCAGGGAACATGAGAGATGTAAGAAACACTTTTAGCTCCAGAGGAGTTGATCATCTTTAGGAGAACACCACGCATGCACACAGTTAATTGAGCAAAAATCCATTAACCCCTACTACTAAGAAGTGACTTATGGGCACAGATGACAAAGAGCAATCAACAACATGAATAAATGTCGAACTTTCTACAGTTCTCGTAAAGAATTCCCCCACTCTTTCAGCTTCCTTTTATGTGTGTTCTTCCCCTATTAGAATGCAAGATCCTTGAGGGCAGAGACTGTTTTTCTTTTTCTATTTATATTCTCATTAGCAAACAGAAAGTGTCTAATAGATGCCTGTTGACTTGATTTGCTTGCAGATAGTAAGTCAATGACAAACTTGATCAACAAGCATTTATTAAAAGCCTACTCTGCACAAAGTCTATGCAAGACTTCTTAAGTAATGTTGTTGCTATTGTTGTTGTTTTTAATTTCATCATTTCTATCTGATGACTAAAGGTTTTATTTTTGTTTTCAGGTCTGGGAAGGGAAGTCTCCAGGAGCCATGTGGGCACAGGGAGGGGCTGCTTGAAGACTCACCTTCTTTGTGTAACATATCAATCACTGTCACTCCAGGATACAAGCTTCCATTTTCATCTCTCACGGGAACAATGAAGCAGTGGGGACCTAAAGAGGTCAAAGAAATAGGGAAATTCCTGAAATGTATGCTTCTAAAGGAAAAAAAAAAATGAAACCATATCCATTACTGGAGATTTCAGTGTTATTCACAGAATCATTAACAGGTCCCTAAATTCACTCATCTGTATGACTCTGAGCTGGTGGGAGGTCAAAATAATAGTCTATAACAGAGGTTCTTAACCTAGGGTCCATGGGTCCATAGATAGATTTTAGGGGGACCATGAACTTGGTTTTTTAAATATTTTACAACTATTTCAATACCATTGTTTTCATTTGTAATCTTATGTATTTTATTTTATGCTTTTAAAAATATTACTCTGAGAAGGCTTTTACCAGTCTGTCAAATATTAAGAAACCCAGGTCTGCAATCTCAAAAGCAACTGAATGAGACTCCAAAATAAGAATAAATTGTACTGCTTGCCACCTATTTTAAGGCAGCAAGTATAGCATTTTAAAGTTTGCACTGCACTTTAAAAATATCTCATTGGATCTCACAACAACCATGAGAGGTAGGTGTTATCATTTTCCCATTTTTCAAAGGAGGAAATCAAGCCAGGAAGAGGTTAAATGACTTCCCCAAGGTCACATGGTTAATTAGGCTCTGAGGCTAAATTTGAATTCAAGTCATCTTGACCTGGGGTTCAGCATTCCATCCACTGTACCACTTAACCTGCCTAAAATGAAAAATTGATGAAGATTTTGAAGCATATTTATAAGATTGATTAATACACTTGCTAGAATATACAAAAACCTCAACCATTATTACATGGTAATTTCATCGAGGAAGTATATGGCAGGGTGGAAAACCATGGAATTTGGAATCAGGAGGCTATATTTTCAGTCCCTAGCCATGCTACTTACTCCTGTTGGAGTGACCTTGATCAAGTCCCTTCATCTGAATATTCTTCAGCTTCCAAGCCTGATTGCTCTTATGTAAAGTGGGGAGAATAAAGTATGCACCATGTGCCCAGAGCTTAGCCCAGTGCCTGGCACACAGTAGGTGATTAATAAATGCTTACTGACTGCCTGACTGTTAATGTTATAGGGTAGATTTCAATATGGAGCTCAGGTGAAATAATGTCTATGAAAGGCATTGTCACGAAGCATTATACAGGGTCTCCCAAAAGTCTTAGCTATTACACCACATTAATAGCTTTCAAGCTATTAAAGCTTAAAACTACCCTTTTGGGAGACTCTGTATAAATGTAAACTGCTTCCAAGCTGGGGTAGTGACACAAACCTTGAGATCTTCCATTTATGATGAGCTGTGCAAAGACTGCAGCATAGTGACCTTCCATTGCATTTCCAATGTACATCTTTTCGGCATTTTCACAAGGGGTGTCGATGATAAACTCCTACACAGAAATGTAAGACAAAGAGTTATCTTTTTTTTTCCCTTTATACAATTTCAACTCAAGCAAGCGAACAAGGAAGAAATTCCTCCTACTGTATATGCTAGGCACTGAGCATACAAAGATCAAATTAAAACAATCCCTGACTTCAGGGAGCTTACAATTTAAGCGACAAAAGGACAAATACACAAATGATTAGGAAGTAAGGTAAAGTGAGAGAAGTACAAAATGAGGAAAAAGTAAAGTACTCTGAGTTATTTGAGGACAGAGAGATTACTTTCACCAGCAAGATGAGCATGGAAGGCTTCATGGAGGAGATGGCTTTTGAATTGGGCCTTGATGTAAAGGAAGGACTTTAACAGAGAGGAGAGGAAGGAAGTCCATTTTAGCAAATGGAATCAGCATAAACAAAGACCTGGAGTTCAGAGCAGCAATCGGGAAGAGGAGGTAGTTCGATTTAGGCTTGTAGGTAGACCACAACAGAAGAGGCACACCCTCAGCCCACAAGCAGTACTTTAGCCCCCAATGCCAGAACCAAATTGAAAAATAAATGGGAAACAGTTAACAAAATAAATAAAAGCACAATAAAACATTGATAATGTTAACATGTAGCTTTCTAAATCAAGTTTGACACCACTGGACTACAAGAGGGGGAAGTGTAGTGTGAGACAAAGTAAGAATGAGATTTTTGGAAAGCCTCGAATGGCAGAGTTGGATTTTATACTAGTAAAAATTTTTGAGTCAAGGGGTAACATGATCATAGATTACTTAGGAAGTGGGGTGGAAGATGGATTGAAGAGGTCCTAGGATCACAGATTTAGAGCTTAAAGGGACCTTAAAGGCCTTCAAATCCAACCTCCTCATTTTATAAAAGGGGAACAGGAGGTAACAGAAAGGTTAGGTAACTGCCCAGGGTCACACAGCTTGTAAGTATCTGATATGGGATTTGAACCCAAGTCTCATTAAATCTATGTCCAATACCCTATCCACTAGGCAATGCTGCCTGCCTCTCTTGATAAACCAGAGGAAGGAATATTAATTAGAAGGCATATTTACTGCCTGGTCAAAAACCGGAGGATCTATATATCAGGTGCCTTTCTGCCTTAAGGGTCTATGATTCAGTGATTAAGATATACTATTATACTGCAGGACTAACTGCTCATTCTCATGACTTGCAAAGTCAATTACTGTCCTTATATATCACCTCAGGTATCATTTCAGTTCCCCCACTGGCAACTTGGGATAGAGAAAAAAGAATTTATTAAGAATCAAAAAGCCTGGGTTCAAATCCTGTCTTTGCTCTTTCCAATGTACGACCTTGGGAAAAATCATTTAATCTTGTTAAACCTCAGTTTCCCCATCTATAAAATGAAAGGTTCAACTAGATGATCTCCAAGTTTCCTTTGAGTTCCAACTCCCTGCTCATTTGATAGATTTGTATCCTGAAGTAGACGGGAGGATTTTTTTTTTATCTTAATAAAGTAGAACAATCAGAAAAATTCATCCTGGTTAAGGTTTTCAAAGACATTTTTCACGAGTTTACATATTGAAGTCAATACTAAGCATTCAGGTGCTCCCACTTCTTCTTCCATCACTTTCTCAGTATGAAGACAACTGAAGTTAGAAATAGCCTGGAGACTAAGTTCATTCTTTGAAGCTCAGATGAGGCAAGTTATAATGATGACATCCATTAGATTGTGTTGGGAATGACCAACTTTAGCTCCTCAATCCCAATTTCACACCAAGGTTTGTAGGTTTAAAAAAAAAATATGGTCCCTCAAAGTCTTAATGTATAAATCATCTTTTCTTTCCACATACTCCCCACATCCCTAAACATACCAGAAAGGTCAGGGAAGGGGAATCTCCACAGTGACTAGGAGCTGTTTATCTTTTCTTTTTTTTTTTTTTTGGTGAGGCAATTGGGGTTAAGTGACTTGCCCAAGGTCACACAGCTAGTAAGTGTCAAGTGTCTGAGGCTAGATTTGAACTCAGGTCCTCCTGACTCCAAGGCCAGAGCTCTATCCACTGTGCCACGTAGCTGCCCCAAGGGGCTGTTTACTGAGTAGCTGCTGAGTCACCTTGAGAATGCATTGTCACATTGGAATGTACTCATTCCAGGTACGGTCCCTTGCCTCCCCATGCTCTGTTCCCCGCTGTCCCTTGCCTAACTCCACCCCATTACTAAGGGTCATGGCTGCCTCCTCTGTGACCTGGGGTCCCACCCAGCCTTCTAATCAAAGACCAACACTGCCCCAAACTATCTAAGACTCCCTCTTGGCTAGATGAAGAATAAAGCTAGTAGACAATATTACTCACTTCCTGCCACTGCCTAAAACCTTGGATCGTACAATTTCCATCTTTATGAAAAGAGACACTTTATTTGTTTTTTGGTGAATGTTTCATAACTTACATCTCAAGTTTTCTTGACCAATTAAAATAACAATAAATGGTTCAGGGAAAAAAAACCTTAGTACATACGAACTTTTAAGTAGAAACACTTGTAAAAAAAAAAAAACCTTGCTCCATTCAAGGTAAGAATCATGAATGTGCTGCTAGGTTTCTTTGTCTCTAAAGTTGCCCTCCTCTCTTATTCATATAGATAAATATATAAAATGCAATTTAGAGAAAATTATATTTTATATATTTATAGGTACGAATATTGCATCTTCCTCCGAACGCATAGAATAGAAGCTCCTTGGTGTCAGTCTGATCTTTATTTTGATATTATATTCCCAGGGCCTTGCTCATACTAGGTGCATACTAAGGGTTTGTTGAATTGGCATGAATTGAATTCACAGCAATCTACAAGTAGACCTGTTTGGCCACAATCAATCAATCAACAAATATGTGTTAAGTGCCAACTATGTGCCAGTAGTGCAGTGTATAGAGCACCAGGCCTGGAGTCAGAAAGCCCTGAATTCAAATCTGACTTCAGATACTTACTAGCTGTTTGACCCTGGATAATTCATTTAACCCTGTTTGCCTCAGTTTCCTCATCTCTAAAAACATGCTAGAGAAGGGAATGGCAAACCACTCTAGTTCTTTGCCAAGAAAACCCCAAATGGGGTCATGAAGAGTCAGATAGGACTGAAATGACTGAACAACTATATCCCATTTATTTGGGCAGCTAGGTGGCACAGTGGATAGAGCACCAGCCCTAGAGTCAGGAGGACCTAAGTTCAAATCCAGCCTCAGAAAAACCAAGAAATCCCCAAATGGGGTCATGTAGAGTGGGACACAACTGAAAAAACTCAACAGCAACATATGCCAAGTATATATGCAAGACATTAGTGATACAAGTAAAAAGAAAGAAACAATCTCTACTCAAGAGTTTATATTCTAATGGGGGAGGCAAGAAGAATATATAAAAATATATAACAATACATTTAAAGTGAATAAATAAAAAGTAGCTAAAGACAAGGTAGTTTGGAAAAGAGAGAACCAGTAATGGGAAGATCAGGAAAGGCTTCACAAGGAAGGTAGTGCTTGGGCTACTGTATGGTCAAGGAAGAGAGGGTTTCCATGAGGGGCCGGAAAGGAAAGAGTGAATTCCAGGCATGAAGGCTGACCAGTGCAAAGGTATAAGATGGGAGATGGAGTGCTGTGTTCGAGGAACAAAGAAAGCCAAGTTGGGTGAATCTCAAAGGGCCAGAGGGCAAATTATGTCCAGAAAAAGCTGGACACGGGGCAGCTAGGTGACACAGTGGATAGAGCACCGGCCCTGAAGTCAGGAGGACCTGAGTTCAAATCCGGCCTCAGACCAAACACTTGACACTTAACTAGCTATGTGACCCTAGGCAAGTCACTTAACCTCAATTGCCCAAAAAAAAAAAAGAAAAAGCTGGACGGGTAGGCTGGAGTCAGGTTAAATAAGGCTTTAAAAGCTAAAGAGAAGAATTTATATGTTATCCTAGAGGTGCTAGGGAGCCACTGAAGTTGGTTGCATAGGGGAGTCACAGTCAGAATTGAGGTTAAGGCTGGATAAAATATGGCACTCACTTTGGACCCCCTTTTCCAACATCTTTTTGCCTTCTTTTCTTGCTCCCCTGAAGTCAGGATAAGAGCAAATCCTCAGTCCTAAGTATTCTCCTCCTTTATCCTCTTCTCCTCTGTATTCCGCCACAATTCAGCCACCTAGGTGACTACTGAAATGTGAGCTAACTGGACCTTCTGCCTGGAAAGAAACAGCATGTTCTTGCCGGTCTAAAACAAGGCAGGCGATTTGGGGTGGGGTAGCGGGTCCGAGGGAAAACTGATGGGCTTCTAAGTGTGGTGAGCTAATCCCTCTCAATTTAACTGGGATTGACTATATTGAAGATCTGGCTGAACTAAACCAACATGCTATTGATCACACCAAGATTATCTCAGATTTCAGATTCTAAAAGCATATAGACCACACTTTCCCTCTGGCCAAGAAACACAGTCCCGGAGCCTAAGAAAACATTCACTGACACATGTTTGCACAGGGAAACTTTTAACATATGCAAGACCTTTTTAGAAACAGAAACGGACAGGCTGAATCTTTTTCAAAGAAATCTCCAGAGGAATACATTGTTTTATCAAGTCAACAAATAGTTCTCAACTGGAGGTGTGACTTTAAACTGGGTACAATTTTAAAATAAAAATCAATTTTAAAAAAATAGCCCCCATGGAATATTCCTTACAACTGGAAACAGCAACAGCACGACTACCAAAAGTCCTGGCTTGACAGTGCAGACCTGGTGTGGTGTGGGAGAGAACACTAGGTCAACTCCTCATAAATATCTGATATACCCTGGGAAAGAGGGCTTGAGACTTCTGGCCCAGGCCGGGCTTTGGAAAGTCGGCACAGGCCAGAATGCAAGCATTATAGCTGTATCTAAATAATGTATACCATGTGTGCCTGTTATTATTATTAATTATTTGTAGCAGGCCAACAAAATGGTCAATTAAAAAAAGGACAGGGTTGGCCGAAGGCTTTATAGAGTCATTTACCTTCTCTGCCCAATCTCAAGTCTTAGCCA